TGACGTCCATTGGCAAGGTACATTGTTTTCCACAGTCTCTCCCGTAGCATCCACATCACGTCTGTGATTCATCCAGCACTAATTAGAAGACCCCGCAAAAGCTCAACATTTCACCACACACCATAACACAGAGCTCAACAGCATGTTTCGTGCCGAGTTTCTAAAATTATTTCTGTAACATTTTCCTGTTTAACCTACTTTGGGTTAACAATCTTGGATAGATGGTCTTGGACAAATGAGGATCCAGTGTCACCAGAACAGGCCACCCAAGGTATGGCAAAACAATATAAAAAAACAAAACAAAACACTATATCTAGCGCAATAGTCAGCGGTCTGAGTCGAGTTTTGTAATAAATAAATACTTTCCAAAGTAATAATACATGCATCTGACTTTAGTTTTCGAGTTTGGTTTGTTAGCCACTGTGGTTTCATTAACGTTCATGTACATTCTCTGCAATAAATTTAAGTGTGGGTTTACAAAAAATATCAGACAAGATCAAAAGTAGTGTAGTGGAAAAGGTAAAAAAAAATGAAAACCTTGCATTCTTAACATCAGAGAGATGCTGCTTTGTTTTAACTGCCTCTTCATCTCATTTTGTTTTTTACATTCCTGCTGTCTGGTTGATGATATACATTGAAATCTCTCTGTTGTACCATATGCCCATATGAGTTCAGAATATACTATTTACAAACAGAAAATTATAAAGTGAATGTTTACTGAGTAAGTCTTAAATCAAGAGTAGGCGAAAAAATTAAAGCATTTGCTAACAAATGTTTAAAGAAATAATAGTAATTACCCCAAAACTTTCAACCAAATGAAAGGGAAGCATCCATTCATCTTCTTCAACTTGTCCAGTTCAGGGTTGCAGACAATCACTCATGCTCACATTTATACCTACAGTTAATTTAAAGCCACCCCATGCCCACCCTGGATCTGAAGCAAGGACCTTGTTGCCATAATGCAACAGTACTAACCTCCAAACTACCATCCCAGTAAAGGGAAGCAGCAAGCAAAATAAAATCCATCCTAATCAAGCTGCCTCCTTTGTTCAGTGTCTACATTATACCTACCAAGCCTCAGGCTCACCACCAGCTCATCCTGTTGATATACACATGCTGTGTACTCATATTTTCAAAGAATGCCAGTGACTGCCCAAGTTTCTTAGTGCAAAGGGCATAATCATGCAAACCTATGTTCACTATCAGCAGCTACTTTGCAGGCAATGTAGATTCATAAAAGTGAAACAGGAAAAGAAACCACCGAAACATTAAACTCATCATTTTTAAGAACAGGATGTGTAATACTTGCAGCACACCCACACAGCTGGCTTGCACAGCCTACATTTACATAAGTCAAATTCAAAAAGAGAAAGATTTACATCACTTTTGACCCATATCAAGCAAAAGCAAAACTCACACAGAAGTCATTTCCACTATGGGGAATGGGGCACAGATACACAGATGTGGCTGCCCTGCGTGTGTGGAAAAAAAAAAAGTTCTCCCCATTTTGTTTGACCTTTGATCAGATGATCCATTTCTGCTGATTATTTTGCTGTGATGAGTTTAAAAAACAAAAGTCTGTGTAGTCAGTGGATGAAATATAGCCACGTTAAAGTTGTGATAATGGTATTGACATTCATTATCAGGACTTTCACCTGCTTGGCACATGGAATGCTTTTCACTAAGTTTAAATATAATCTGCAAAGTAATGATTAGTGAGAGGTGCTGTTTGATGCAACAATAGGATGCTATAAAAATGTATGGGCTGTCTACCAAATGATGTTTTCTGCATGAGACAAAAATCTCCCATTTATGTTCAGGCGGACCAATCGGTCACAAACTTTCTTTTTGACCTGCAGTCTCAGAATCACTCAAATGCCTGCAATAATGATCGAATGCTCACATTTTCAGTCTCGGTGCATGTAAATTGTTTCAAACTGTAAAAGCCGGTTAATTAAAAAAGCAGCAGAAAAGATGAAGCAAGGTCACATTCAAGTCAAAGTGCATCCCCCTGGCAACTAGAAGAACCTTAGTCAAGACAGAGAGACCATTAGACTGGCCATGCAAACGCTCTAATTATACACTAAATGATGTGGAAAGATCGCCTGAAGTACTGTTAACAATCATGCTGCAGGGGAAGAGGTGAAATGTGGAAAAACGTTCCATAAATAGCTTTGTTCTTGTGCATAACCACGAAAAAGGTTTGCTTGAATATAACTTTGTAGACGATTGTTAACTTTGATAGAGCCGCTCCAAATATATGCTGCAGCATACATAAAAATGACATAAAAACAAATAATATTATATGGTGCACTTCCAGGGAAAGATATAGATGCTATGTTCGATTAACGCTGCTATGTGATAAACACCCCCCCCCTCCATGGTGCAGCTCACATTCATGACTTTGGCACTGCATGAAGTTACAAAAAATAGTATGAATCCTGGCATGAGTTATATAAGCTATGGTTAAATCAGAACTGAAGCCTCTCCAAAATAATATGCTTTATATGCTTTTACTGTGGGCAGAGAACACTTTTCCAGTGCATCAGCATTTCCATCACACCAAAGCCGATGCCTGCTGTTAGGAGCAGTTGAACAGCACCTGTTTTTGGTTCATGTTTGTAAACTGAAATTCTGAACTCATATTTATGCCAGTACATTTAGTTTCACCATCATAATTTCTCCAGGTCAACCTCATTGAATGTAACAGACAGAGCGGTGTACCTGGTGTGCATTAGAAATGTGAGACTCTCTGACAGCATGATCAATCCCTGACTTCACAGCATGGATGTGGTCTGATGTTCTGCAGCACGCGTCTAAACTTGTGGAACTGGCATGTGCTGCAAGAGGGGGGGGTCAATCATTCGCTGATTGTGTAGACTGGCATTGTTATCCACTGAGATCTGCATCTTAATATCATGAGTCTGTGCTACCAAATAGACTGTCTGGAAATGAACTAACTAATTAGCGGGTCACGGAGGTTCAAAGACCAGGTGCAGATTGTGCAGATTATGCTGCTGAGCTGCAAGCGGTTAGTGTTGTTTGCTAACCAAGAAATTAGTCATGAAAAGCTGTGTCTTGAAATGTGCTTCTAAGAAAAATCAAATCTAGGTGTGTATTATTAAAAGGTTGACATTGATTTGAGGTGCTGCTTGCCAGCAGCGGAACAAGTCTTTACAGGCTTTAGTTCCTCTGAATTAAGGTAGAAGCAGTAGTGTTCATTTGTTCATTTATCATTTGAGCATGAGTCCAAGAGCAAACAATAAAAAAGTAAGCTCCTGAAAATAGAAAGTGAGCTTAACGTTGCTGTCAGAGCTTTGTCTGCTCTTTCCAGAGAAGGGCTGAACAAGCGGAGGACTAACTTTGCAGATGCAAAGTTGCTATCATTAAAGATGCTATCATTTAAACGCTTTACAACATGCGCAAAAGAGCAATGTGTCACATCACTTCTAGCGTGGGCCTTAAGAACTTTTAAGAAAAATGTTTACATGAATCCACATAATAAGAGGCGGCAGCTGACACAGAAATGACGAAGGTAGCGAACTATACAAGATAAAGTTTTATGGTTAAATATTTAATTTAATTTCAAATGTAAGCTGTGCATTTCGGTGTGGAGATAATGTCTGAAAGACACTGGCGTGTTTCGTGTCTTAAACCTACCGGAGTGTAAACATAGGGACATATTTCTGCGTGGATTATCATGAGCAGTATCCCAAAGAGAGCGGTGCCCAGAGTCCACGCGCACAGACGCTTTTTATCCTCCAGTAATAATTTTCTGTCTCGGAGTCTGTAAAGGTCGTCTCCCTCCATGTGAGTTGTCCGTTTCCCGGGGAGTGTCAGTGGCACCGACACGTCTGCGGAGTCCCCACGGTTTCGGCTGATCAGGCCATCGCAGCTCACGCAGTCGACTTTGGAGTCGCCGTGCAGGCTGCGGTTTGTCATCTCCATCTCCGGAGCGCACACGAGACGCCCGCCTGCTCCCCTCTCCTTGTCGCCTTGTGCTGTCCCGTCCTATGCTTTGCCTGTTGCTCTCCTCCAGAGCTGGGTAAGGCATAGTCCGATGGCAGAGTCGCGTAGCAGGCCCTTCTCACGTGCGTTCCTCATCCACGATGCGGGTTTACCAAAACTCTCGGGTCTTCTCCACAATCACCGCTCCAGCCCAACCTGCGCGGAGCGGTTACGCGCACTGCTCGCGCGCACCGCCATCACACTGTCCACACTGCAAGCAGCGGACTTTGCGCTCTTATTTGCATGTCTTATTATTTAGGAGTGTGGGCTGGTCTGATAAGCGCTTTCTTTGTGCGCGGGTGGATGCGCTCGTCACGTGCGTGGCGCACTCTCTTTGCAGTGAAGCACAGGAAGGTTGGAGGTCCAGTGAAATGGCATAAACTTTCGTACATTTCTTTATTTGATGATGTGTAAGAAAAAAAATCCAATCATTGTTATTTTAATTGAGAGAAAACGCCAAACGGCAAATGTATGGAAATTCAGTTATGTAACCCCCGTGCTTTTATTTTAATCTTTTAATTTGATGCTGACACAATGCAATCTGGACTGCGCAAGTTTCACAATAGCTACAGAGCCGTGGCGGGGATGAGTTGCAGTAGGTTATATTCAATGCAGTAGTCAGGGTTCACTAACATCGTTTGCTGTCACTATTCCATTTCTACCTGAAAATGTTTTTCTTGTCATTTTGAAAACATTCATGTAACTGTGCCCTCTGATTTCGATGTCTCCATATTTCCTGTTATTAAATTGCACAGGTAAGTCCCCAAATAGACTACACAAAAAGTGAGAAAAAAAAGCCTTTCTCCTAAACCCTTTCAACTGAGGCACAGCGTCATGACCTTGGGCAACGTGACGCATCCAACGCACTGGAGTGCTTCCGCTAACCAGATCCTGCTGTTCCGCTGACGGCAGTAAGAGTTCTACCCGAGGATACACTGTATACAGGTGATTTCCCAGCCAAGTGAATAAAAAAAGAAGAAACACAAACAGAATTTAAACGCAACAGCAAAGACTTTACTGAAAAGTACGATTCATGTCAGAACAATGATTTCAGAAAAAGCTGCATGGATTAATCTTCTGCGGCTCAAGCAAGAACTAAGGACAAAATCAATCAACGCCTAAGCGTGAAATGTAAATAAATAAAAAATGAAAAGTAACAATTCATGGTTTATAAAGCTGTAGCAGGACCTCATAGCAAGCAATGAACAATAAAAAAGTCACGACCTTAAGCAAGCCTATTTCAAATTAAAAAACAAACAAACAAGAAAAAAAAAAACAGTGACAAAAGCGTTCTGTATATTACAGCAGAGAGCATTTAAGCTATTAAATAAACATGTTCACGTTTGGAAAAGTGAAGTTTCTAAAGTAAAACCAAAGTTTGAAATATATATATATAAAACTGACTGTATGTGACTTGACTGCCATCCATTGGTGGCTGAATAAATTACAACAAATATACGATTATAAAGTGCTCATCGGATGTGGTAATATTTACAAGCAGCTTAGTAAAAAAAATAGCCTCTTCTACTTAATATACAGATATTGTCACTATTGCTACAGTGGTTTAAAAACCCTGAATCACATTTCACAGTGATTAACTGTGACTTTTACACCCTGCAAAGATTTACAGATGGTAAAAATATTTTTTAAAAGACATATTTTCGGCATCAAACATATTGCTGAGAATTCCTGAGTTCAACTTCAAGCACCCAGTGACTGATGTTGTTCTTGTTGAGTACAGTTCATCAATACAAAAGCAGCAGTGCAAACACAACAGATTCAAAGAGCAGTTTTCACTTGAGCTGTGGGGTATCCCTGTGCAGAGTAATAGCCGTTGTTGACAAAGAAAAATGAAAAAAAAAAAAACACTGGTTGAGTTTTTTTCAGATTATGAAAGGAATAATTAAACTGTACAGCTAAACCTTTTGGTCCAAGTAGATCTGTACCCAGGCCTGACATCAGACGGCTCAGCTTATAATGCTTATAATGCCCCCAAAATGCCCTCTCCATAGTTCACAATTGGTCTACTCCTTCCCTGCTCGCCATGGCTGCAGGGGAGCCTGAGGGATGATGAACTGCGGAAAGGTCCGCGGCACAACGTAGTATCCAACGACCTGCTGGGCTGGAGGTGGTGGCACGGTGCTGATGAAAACTGGAGCACGCTTCTTGAACTGAGGCCACACTGGTGTAGGGTGGTAGATGACCTGAAGGTTAGGAGGCACCTGAACAGAGACAAAGATTGGATTGAGTGAAATTTGAAAGGATGGGAACAGACACATTTTTTCCATATGTGATGAATCCTTTCTAAAGCACACGACAACAAAACATAACACTGTAATAATATAGCAGCAGCTAACATCAACAACAGCCTGCAAATGAAATTCAAAATAGCTGTTCATGTATCTTACTTGTGTAAAGGAAGAAATTGCAAAAAGTGTGAGTCAGTTAATCCAAAAGAAATAAGGCCAGTTTCTTATAACAACAACAAATCCAATGAATCACAACACTGGACCTATACGGTCGCTAACAACAAGGCCATAAATCCTTAAAACTGGATAACGTATAATTCACAGATAAGTCACACTTATTTCATACAGAAATTTTCAGCTGCATAGGTTATTAAAGCCATTAATTCTATATAATAAGCAAATTAACTAAGAGGGAAATAATCTTGCCTTCAGTAGCTCAGTTGCCCAGATTTATAGTCGCGCAATGCCAAGGCAGTGATCTGACCGTGTGAATTGACAACCAGATTTAAGAAAACAACAACTTAAGACAGCAAGTTGACCCAATTCTCTGCTACACCACAACAAAGGCAGGCTAGGATTAGCTTTTATGTAGACAAGAGTCCTTAAAGCTCATTCAAACCTCATTCAACTCTCAGAGGTCGTTCCATTATTGGAAATTATCATCAACAAGACCTCATGAATGGCCAGCTAATTTACAAAAGGTATGGGAAGAGGTTTCCTGAGTTTTTCCTTCCCACTGTCACCAAGTGCTTGCTTAAAGAGGGGTCATCTAATTGTTGGGGTTTTCTATTTATTATTGTGGGGTCTTTACGCTAGGTGTTTGCCTTGAGATGATCAACAGATGTTGATCACTGCTGCTGTTGAAGCGCTATATAAAACTGAATTGAACTGATATGTGATGAGAATCTGTAAGTGTATATTTGTGGCAGCTGGATGCTGCATGTGGGTTTTTCTGACTACAGACTACTGTACTCAGGTTCATTGTAACAAAGAAGTCATTTCCTGTAGCACTATTGTTAATTAGTGTGCTTTCTTTACTAACATAGGCACAGGTTTGGTCATATAGATAACTGCTCTAAGAAGCATTGTGGTAAATAGATGAAGAAAAGAAAAGAAAAGAAAAGAAAAGAAAAGAAAAGAAAAGAAAAGAAAACAAAAAAAAGCAAGAAAAACGTACCATATTTCTTGGGTATTTGACCCTGTTTGAGCCATCTTCGTGTGGCTTTCGAATCCTGGGCACCATGGTTATTTTGCAGCTTTCATCCTCCATCTTTCCCTTCTCAGCAATCTGCCCTTCTTTTTCTTTTTCTCCCTGCACATCCCCGTCTTTTGCCTCCTCTTCCGTGTCGCTCGATGCAGCTGAACCACAATCCGAAGATGTGGCAGAGTGATAATCTGAAGTCTCCTGGCTTAGTGAGTCCAGCGAGGACACATCCAGGTCATCCTTCACACACTCTTCATTCTCCTCTTCCTCCTCTTTGTCGAAAGAAGCAACTTTAAAGGGACTGTTGTTCTCTTTGGATCTGTGAAGAAGGGAGTAAATGATTTTTAAGTTATGCCACCCATTTTCCAGCCTGTGACTTCCTACAAGTTTGCACTTGTTGTTTCACATGTTGCATCACAACTGTCACTCGTTCACAACAGAACAGACTGAGAAACGGCTGCGTCTTTGTCTGCCTTTGCAGGCACCCGGTGACTCACCTTGCAGACACCTCCAGCGGATCAATCCACAGAGTCATCTCGGATGGAAAACCCAGGCTGGTGGGCATGATGTTAGTCTCTTTGCAGGCCTGCAACACCACTTCATCACAGGGTATGCTTCTGTTTATGCAAATGCATCTGTGAAAAGTTCAGGAATTAAAAGTTAGGTGCCTTCTTTCTTTGCAGGACAAAGTCACTCACTGACCATTGTGTAAATGTTTAAACAGCAATGATTACCTAAATGCTTGGCCTTTGCTGGGACAGTCGGGGTACCAGTGGTCCTTGTATTTTTCACATAGAAGTTTTTGAAGATTTTCTGCAAACAACTCTGCTTTGGCCCCATCTAAGTTACCACGTGTCACAGCCATTCGTTTGAGGAAGTCCACCCCGGCCTTGATCTCTTGCTTCATGGTGACTGTAGACAAAGAAAGAAGGAAAAAATAAAATTTATCCATGTGATTCTGTGCGTGTGTTTTGCCATGACTTCAGTGAGGTGTGGAAGACCGTGAACTTCAGTTATCACACTTCCCTGTGCAGTTGTCCCTGAAGTGTATATTTATTTTTCTTTGCCTTCAGGGGAGTGTTGAGCATGGGTGAGATGTCCTGAGTGAATTTTACATATATTGCCATGCTCTGTGCCAACAAAAAGATAAAGTTTGTACACAGGTAAATCAGATGCAAACTATAGCTGCCAGGTTAACATCCAAGTAATTTGACTATGCAAATTCATTGAGGTCATTGTGCTGTTTATTTTCTGATAGCATGTCTGTTTTGGGTTGAGTGTCAGTGTCAACTTGATCAGAGAGAGAAAAAATGTGCTTAATTAGGCCAAGGCTTTGGCCAACTGCAGACAAACAAGCTGACAGTGCTAACATCTTCCTGTTATCCCTGACTAGAAAGTCCATCCTTGAACTTTTGAGGTGCAAACTGTACTTTGTTATTGTGGCTTGCAACGTGCCACTCTTGCTTCAGTCTGGGTAATGTGTTGTCACAGAAAATAATCATTTTCTCTACTACATGGAGCCACAGCCTTCCCTTAAGGGTAGCTGTGATCCTGTGACACAAGCAGCAACTTTAAATCCCTAACAAATGTTTTGCTGTAGCATGAACTATGAGAGCATCAATGTGTTATCCCCCTCAGACACCATTTCGGACTTCCAGTTTATAATTTGTCTGTGAGGTAAACAGGGGTAGGCTAGAATCTGCAATGAAGAGTCAATAAGGTTTGGGTGACAAGCGCTAAGAGACATTAAAGCCATTAAAAACAGCACAATATCTTAAGAATTGCTTCAAAGATTGTGGTACGTGCGACCGCAACAGCTATTTAAACCACACATCTGCAGAATTGAATATAAATATTGTTTTCTTTTTATAGCAGGCCTACACCTTCATTTTTAGACACTTGAACCAGTGATTTTAGTTACTGTTGAACAAAGAGTAAGTAATGCCTGTAATAACGCTTTGATATATTTATAAAAGATATTTATATTTATAAAACTGATGTTCTTATTTTAAATCCCTGGTTTATCTTGAACTTTTGTCCTTGTAATTGGATGATTATTGACAAAATGTAACAGCATGTTACTGAAGACAGATGGTCTTACACACTTTCATTTGGAATTATACAGATGAATGATTTACGTTTTGAAGGAACTTAAACGCATCACTGGGGGTGTTTGTTTTCTCTGATAATTTTCTCTATAATCACAAGTTAGGTGAGCTCGAAAATGAGGTAGCTTCTCAGTCTGCACACCATGTTTACTGTGCTCGTTTAAAGGCGAGCGGCTGTCATTATACGCAAACCTCTGATACAGGTTTGTTTGGAACAACTTGACCTATTTTCAGGCACAGGCTTGTTCCAGCTGCTTATACTGAGGTCTTTAATGTTTAACTACGAGGGCAAAACTCTGTTAAAATGTCACCCTGAAAAGGAAAGATTAGTTAAGCCATTTTTTAGGAGCGGTTTCGTCGATATTCCCCCCGCGCCTGCAGATGAGGACACGGCGCAAAGCGTGTTCAAGTGCTTGTGGACCGTTGGGATACTAAATAAAAAAGCCAGACAAAGAATATAAGAAAGCGAAAATGTATATCCTCCAGCCAGCTGTGATGAAGGGAACGTCACACTACTTAGTGGAAATAACGCGCTTGAGTTTTCAGGCGGTGCGGAAACCCCCAAATGGAAATTCAGAAAGTTTGTGACGAGAAGCGTACAGCTGTAGGCAGCTCACCTAAACAACGTATTAATTAACAATTAATAAACAATGTATTTGGGTGGGGGGTATTTCCGGAGATGAGATTAGATAAATAAATAAAATGTTTAAAAAACATTAATCGACCGGATAAAATACAATCAAATAAAATTTACAACAACAAACAGACACACAGCCGACAAAACATCAACACATTACACAACTAAACGCGATAAAATTAAAGTTAGAAGCACAGAAGTGAGTACTCACATTTTAACGTAGTTATTGTCGGTGCCCTCCTGCTGTATTTGTCTGCCCCTCGGTACTGATGCGCTGGAACTCTCGTGGCGGCACGTTCCTTCCTCGTTCTCTTCGGCTGTAAAGCAACAGAGACGTAGGATTACCGTCAGCGTGACTCACTTCCTTCGCAGTGAGCAAGCGGTGACTAGTGCCCGCCCGGCCCAAATATGGAATACCGGAGTAAACAGCTGATGAGCGTGAAAGAGAGCGAAATCCCTCACTCTGTTGCTTTTCTAGGCGGAAGAGGGTGTGGGTGGGGGGATACCTAATAGTGTCCTCACCTCTTAAAGGTGTGGTTTCACCCAAACTGTGAAGCGCTTAGCAACTATGTGCTATACAAACAAACCCAGGATTGTAATTAACTGTACCCCACAGCTACATACATCTCACATAGGGAATGCGTTCCTATGAATCATATAATCATATATCATTATGAAGTTACGTTTTAATGGATTTACATGCTTGTTTGTTACATACCTGAAGCTTCACTAGCAGCAGACTTAATTAACTGTTCGTAGGCTAATTATTACCATATAACCGATTCTAACGGCGGGCTGCATTGCTATGGTGACCATTTGCATAAGTAGTACAGTACTCCCCCACGCCTACGCCTACCACCTCTCTCACGCTCTCTGTTGAAGTCTCGGGAAGCTGGAACTGAAGGCCGTGCTACATTTGAAAATAACTTAATTAGTAAAATGATGAGTTTATATAAGGTGAGATGAACTTGACGAGTAAATTTGAAAATTACCTTAATAACCCAAGACCCAGTCACTGGGTTTCTTAAGTAAACGGGTCGCTTAAGACTGTTAAAGTGTTGTTGCTGATAGATGCTGATTTATCTTGTAAATTTGTAGAAATTCTAAGTCTGTGTTAAATTTAACTTACAGTTTAATGCCAACGAGGGCTAAAAAGGCTTGTGATTTTGGAAAGATTATTGTGGCTTTACATCTGAGATTTTTATATAATACCATTTTTTATATATCTCACGGTCAAGTTTTACTGCTATTGAAATCCTGGACAAACCTGGACAAGAGGGCCGCAGTTTGTAACAAATATAAACACAAATTAAGTTGGAATACATGTAATTACCCTGGCCAAGATAACTACTTACAATGGACTGAGACACCCCCATAATGACCAGTTCTGCCAATTTCAGGTCCTTACGGAAAGTGACATACCCATATAACATATAGAACCAAATATAAAGACGCGCATGTCTGAATGTGGCTTAGACTAAAAAGTCCGACAAAGTGTGAACGATAACGCAAATTCATGAATAAAGATTTACAGGAACAGAGAAGAAGTATTGGTCTCTATTGGTCTCGTGCTAGACAGTAACAGGGTTGCTGAGACGAATCTAAAAAACCTGTACACGGTTCACACGGACATGAAATGAGGACATTTTCAAAAGATAATCAAATGAAAGATACCAATTAAAAGTGTTTATCAGAACTAACGATGGAAATCAAATTTTACTTACAATAGGGAGCAGAGATTCCTTCTGTTTGAGGTGAGTGTTGTTTGTCAGTGTTCCTCGAAGTGAGTTGGCCGGTATCCTACAACTATTTAAGCGCTCAAGAGGTTGATTTGCATAACGGTTACATACCAAATAAACTAGAATGGATGGGTGGTGCTATTGTGCTGATCTCACTTTCATTGAAGTCAAACGTGGATTTTTTTTTAATGGTCATTTACAGACTAAAATTGTGGGATGTTAACTTTTTCAACTTTTAACTACATAAAAAAACAATAAAACATTAGACTCACTGGTCTGACGCAATTGTTGACCGATCTAAAAAATGTTTATGCCCAAAATGCTGACTTTAAGTAATTTGATCACATGTTGATTTTCTGTGTAAATTTGGTACATAAGTACATTAGATTTAATGTAATTGATCAAATGAAATGTATTTGAATCTTATATATTCATTTTATACCAAACAGTTAGTTTCTTTAGTTCTTACACTTTAATTAAAAGATTATTGCCTCGAGTCTATGAGGGCCAAAAATTGTTGTTCTTTTTTATTTTATTTTATTTTATTTTATTTTATTTTATTTTATTTTATTTTATTTTATTTTATTTTATTTTATTTTATGTTTACATTTCTTTATTATTATTATTATTTTTAATTCCTTCCTTAAAGGAACCCTGAGGAGGGAGATCTATACTAGAAGTTTATTTATTTTTAGGGTAAAGTTGTCAGTAAACTCCTGCAAGCCTGGTTGTTTAATAAGCAGCATCTATAAAGTGCATGGATTCACTGAACAGAGACAGATAGATGCTAATTAGTGCTAAGGGAAGTACAAATCTTAAAGTATAAGCTTAAACAAAAATCTAAGTTTTAAGACTGATCTGGAGAAAAAACAGAGTTTCTGTCTCCCAAACCCAAAACTGGGAGTTGGTTTAGTGTGTGTGTGTAGGAGGGGGTCTTCATGAATTTTATATAGTGAAGCCATTCAAACAAACAGCCTTCGGGTTTGTTTAGGTCATTAGAACAGCCCATTCTAACAGCTTAAGGCTGGAAGGACTTCAGTGTATAAAATTCATGAAGACCCCCTGCTACACACACACACACACACACACACACACACTCACACACACACACACACAACTCAGTCATAGCATTTCTAGCTGCCAATAATAATAACAGTTATCTCTTGAGTTTGTTTCAGTTCTAAAAGCTAATGGGAGGTCTCAGGTATTTAGCCTTTAAAGGGACAGTTGTCTTTAGAAATTGTCGTCTTGAGAGTCGTTGACCCACCCTGTCATCACTAGGGGTCACAAAGCCAGTCAAAAGGTGGGGTAGCATGAACCCAGGTGTGAATTATCCATGAGACGATTCACCACCCTGCTATCACTAAAGTCAATTCAATGTGTGAATGGGGGTTAGGAAACACATAGAAAGAGATGTTAGAATTGTTTTATAGGTGGCTGGTATTTGGTGTTGTAGACTATTAGCTTCAATTAGTTCAAGTGGATATATAGTTAGGTCCATAATTCCTAAGACAAAGACAAAATTTATTTTTGCCTCTGCCCACCATCACAGAGGATTTTAAATCAGCTGTTCAACATGTGATCGAAGTGCAGATTTTCAGCTTTGATTCAACAGATTTTATTGAGAAGCAGTTTCATGGAAGCAGCCATATTAATGAAAAGTGATGAATTTGTATTTCATGGAATTTCACTGTAAGTTTAAATATGAAGCCCAGAGTGATGCCATTCCAGGTGAAGGAGGCAAAAAAAAGGCTAAAAATCCTGAATAAAACTACCATAGAGACAGCAAAAACTTTAGGAGTGGTCAAAATTACAAAAAAAGAAGGCATGACCTGGTCATCTCAAAAACACCAAATGGCCGAAAGCTCACAAATGACATACTAAAATGGATAATGACAGAATGATTTCCAACATCTAATCGAGTTGAGAACTCAAGGAGGTTGAATTTATTTGGTTACACTTAAGAACATGAAGATTTTTGCAGGTAAACATCAGAACATATCAGAAAAACATATTTGAAGAAATTAAATCAAGACTAACTTGAGAAGAATGAAGTACGCAGAAAGAATCAACTCATTATCCAAAGGATGCCACATCATTTGGCAAACATGGTGGATGCAATCTTATGTCATGGGCAAGTATGTCTGCCAGTGAAAGTATTCATTGATAACAATGTTGTTGATAGAAGTAGCAGGATGAAATGTGACGTGTACAGGGTAAGAGTCGCTGATCATACTTTGTCAAATGCAACAAAAATGACCAGATAGAGCTTCACAGTGGAAATATCTAAAAACCCAAAGCATACTGCAAAAGCAACACAAGAAGGGTTTTTTTAGGGAATGAAATTGAATATTCATGAATGGCTAAATCTTTGATTTGATCTCAACTCAACAGAACATGTTTTTCAGTTATTAAATAGAAATCTGAGTGCAGAAGAACAAGCATCAACTGAAGTTAAAGGCTTAGCAGAATATCTCAAGGTAGGAAACAGTATTTGATGTCCATGAGTTCTAAACTTCAGGCAGTCACTGATTGCAAAGGATTTTCATTCAAGTGATAAAACAATATTTACATTTATATTGATGTTAGTTTGTCCAAATATGTTTGAGCCTCTTAGAATAAAGGACTATGAATAAAAATGACTAAAGACTTAAATCCTAAGTCCTGAACTAATTTTGCTTACTAAAAGCTACTGATTTTCTACTTAAAGCAGAAAATCAGTACTTCAACTACATTTTAATTGTTTTATACAGAAGCATATGGCAAAACTACAAACATTGTCACTTTGTCTAACAAATTATGAACTGTAGATGGACTCCTTTACTCAAACTCAAACCACCCACCTTCTCTGTCCATGTGTCCCTTTTCCTTTAACCCTTAGCCTATCAACTGGGGTCGGTGCAAACCCCACAAGTATATATTTTTGTCATAAACTTCAAGGAGCTTTTTAAAATTCCAATTTAAATGTCTTTGTTCCTAATCATGTCACAATATTGTTTTCTAGTTCTGCTTTGATTAGTACTTTAAAAATAAGCATTAATCAAAAAAGAAAAAAAAAATCAGGTTCCATCCATGTAGCATTGATAAATTGAACTATTTATTCAGTTGAAGTTTACTATGGGTCCTAAAAGAAGGCACTAAAAGTATATTGAAAGGGCTGTGGTAGTTGGGGAGAGTCCTCTGAAGTGATGACCAATAAAGGGGATGTCTAGACCTGTTGTATTATGAATGGTCAAGGTGGTGAAATGGGAACGTGTGAAAAGTACTGGGTGGAGGTTGGGAGTCTTTCGGCCTTTCAGTCTGTTCGCTAGATGTGAATTGTTGCTTGTGGAGTGGGGATTTAGGCTTGCCTGATTGAGACCTTTCCAGACATGAGTGGAAGTCGTTTCCCGAGAACTGGTGTCACTTCTTTAAGCAGGCCTAAAGATAACGATAGGATTAAACTGGACTGGCTGTACTTTGAAACTCCCTGTGTGTCCCCACTTCACAACACTTTCTCCATTCCCAGTCTCTGCCTCCCCAGCTTAGCTGTGAACCAGTGCTTATTAATATTATAACTGATCCTTGTGTGTCATGGTATAGAGCTTTCCAAACAGAATCTGATATATGATGTCATACCATGACTGTTGGTAGCATTTCTGAAAACCTCTCAGTCAGTGCACTCTGTGCATTGCAGTTCAACCTCCCAGTTTCTGTCTGAGTGTGTTACTGGGTCTTAAGCTCAGGACCACCACAAAGTAATAGCTTCATTAGAAGTTAAATACCCTGGATCAGTTTTCAGAACTGAAGAAGTCTTTTGGATATGGGATGAAGCATCTTCAAGAACCAGCTGCCTTCAGTTCAAGCATTCAAGACTCTTAAGATGACTATTTTACCAACAGTGTTAGTTTACCTATAAGGCCTCAATTGTACTCCATTGTAGGCACGGACATAGACAGCAGGAGATCCAGGAACCCTGTAGTCATTTCTGTTATACTTCCTTGAAGTCCCTTTGAAGTAACCTGCCTGGGGCGCATGCATAGTTTGTTAATT